ACATACCATACATTTTGTCATTGTGTAAAATAAAAGGTTACAGTGCGATCACATTATACAACTGTATTACATAAAAATCAAGGAAATCAAAAGCGTTTACACCGCTAAAAGTAATCAATTTTAACTACATGTATAAGTAGGACTATCATAAATGTAATGACACCTATGTCCAAAAGAAATGGTGAGTAGTATAACTATATTTAAAAGAGTTTACTTGGTACATTCAACTGAACAGCTGTGCATAGTAGACCCTACACTGAAAGTGGGTGCTCTATGAAACAAATGCAAAGACATGTAAAATAAGTATACATTCATCATGTTAACTAAACATGTAATTTATCAAACTGAAATAAAACACGATAACAAATGCATTTTATGTAAATATACATTTATATAGAATTGTCTATCTAGCGTCGTATTGTGACCGTTCTGACCACCTACATTTCTGTAAGTCTTATGTTACAGGCATTGGTTCAGAATTGATTGTCAGGCTATTCTTGTTTTTAGTAAGGTGGCCTATAGGCTTTGTTACACTTTTTATAACCGTTATACACAATGTTATTTATCATTGGAGCAATATGTCTTTTCTTTGGAGCATAAGTATTAGCTGTAGCTTTTAGTTTTATTGCACTGGTTTTTATTCTGTCTCTAAATGAGTCCCAGTGTTTATAATTGTTTTGAGATTTATTTTCGTGGTCAGTGTTTGCGCCAACCTTAGTTTTCTTGTGTGTTTGACCAACATTGCATGTCTTGTAATGGTAGGATACTGACTTTGATAAGCCAGGCCACCAAAAATGCTCTAAGATTTGAGCTTTCATTTTGGCCACGCCCACATGAGCTGACCGCTTGTTGCTGTGGGTCAGGTCAAGTACCACCTGCCGCAGCAGTTTAGGTACAGCCAATTGGTCCCACTCGACGCCCTGTCCGTCGGTGTATCGTCTCACCAACAGTCCATCGCTGTTAAAATAAAACTGAGAGGGTCCGTGATGGTCCAGTTTAGTCTGAGCGAATAATTTAGTCTTAGCTAACGTTTCGTCTTTTCTCTGCATTTGTTTGAACTGTTCGACAGTCACGTCAAATTCAGCGATGAATCTTGTAATGTCATTCTTTTTAGTTACTTTCTTAGTTTGTGCCTTTGTGACGAGGGCGGCTGCTACGTCTAGGTTATTACCCATCGTCGCCCCACTCACGTTACCAATTATTAAGTCCACGGGCGGGTCTTTCAGGAGCGCCGCTTTAGTGCACCCGGTAAAATATGGAGATTTGATTCTAATCCATCCCACTTTATAAACCACTTTTGTACCATCAAATAAAGTACAAGTAACGGTGTCGTTATTGTTTTGTCCATTACTCAACGATTCTCTGCAACCAATAATACTACACCCGGTATCTCTTAATACCTTAACCTTTTCCCCATTAACTTCACCATCAACTATATTTCCTCTCTTAGATTCTATGTCCCCCTCGAAACATGCAAGACCTAACTGAGGATCCCTTCTTTGATCAAAATGCTTTCTGTCACCTATTGTATCTTTGTCCGACATTGCCAATAACTGTTCTTCTGCCTGATGGCTAACAAAAAGGTTGCCAAGGCTAACCTGGCCCACCGCTGCGCTACCATAGCCTCCCCTTCCCCTGCTGACAGCAGCTGCGGAGTAGGCGTTATTTCTGACCGGACCCGAGTATGGCTGGCGGTCATTGTAACCCTCGTTCCGTGACCCGGCATTCTCACTCGTGTAACGCTTCAGGTGGAAACAATCGTCCGTGTTGTGTCCCCTTTTAAAACAGAAAGCGCAAGACTTGGGCTGATTGTTAACTTTGTCATCTAGGCCTATGTGTGATATTGGTTTAGTTATATGCTTTTTACGTGCTAGGTTTTTATCTGGATGCGCTATCATGTAATTGTCGGCTTGGGTTAATACCGAGTCCAGATTTAGGTCATTTCTCTCAGTGATGAAATTGACCACGTCCTCGTTGACAGTGTGTAGTAGTTTATCTACCACCATCAAATCACGGAGGGCTTCAAATGACTTGTCGATTTTTGACAAGTCTACCCACCTAGTTAAATAATGTTTTGCTCTGTTGCTATAAGCAACAATAGACTCATTAGCCTCAGGTGATATGGCGTAAAACTTTTGCCTATATCCCTGTGCTGTCAGGTGAAAATGACGACATAGAGCAGTTTTTACCTCCTCGTAGGAAGCTTTTGCTTCCGCTCTATGTCCCATAAAGCACACTGGCAATAGTTCTGCCGGCATTAATTTGCGGAGCTCATTACTCCAGCAGTCTTTCCTCCATCTGTTTTGCCTAGCCTCTTCTTCAAAACGAAGGAGAAAAAAGTCTAGGTGATCGGCCACCCCATCAAACTTTGGTAGTGTTACCTTCGATGATCCGACACCTATTTGCTCCTCCCCCTTCCCCACATACTCGTTGCTACGATTCGCTAACTCTATTCGTTTAATTTCCAGCTCTAACAGCTGAATTTGACGCTCATCTTTTTCCTTGTCCCTAGCCCACTCTGCTTGCTTAAATTCTCGTTCCTTGTCTACCCTAGCCCGTTCCGCGTCCACCTCATCCCTGACCCATTTTAAAAGCTTTGTCCCCGCGTAACCTAACGCCTCCCCCTCCCGCTTTATCTTTAGCTGTGACCGCTGCGTAGCCTGGTAGGATGCCATGGCGTCCGGTCAACTTTAGGTCAAGAGTAGGATACCTTTGTACAGGGGGAATAGTAGGGTGGTCACTGGTCAGGGTACTCAACTAGTGTTAGCTGTATTTTTAAAAAAAAATTAATGTAGAGCACTGACAGTATCTGAACTTGCCTGAACAAGAGACACTTACCGAAACTGCAGTGGTCACTTTGAGTCACAGCCTGGGAAGTTAGCTGGGTGGTATCTAGGGTGGGTAGAGCTAGGTCTAACTTTGCCTTTAACAATCTGAAAACTATAAGTAATTACTAGTAAAGGATGTACAATTGTATTCTAATTGTGGCATAAAAAGTAACAGAATTAGATTAAAATTATATTCTACTTTTTATATATATAACTATATATATATATATATATATATATGATAAAAATGTACCAGTATTTATAGATATTTAAACAAAATCTAGCTTTGATACGAGCCCCCAATGTGGCAAATATGCTCTAGCGAGTCATACCGCACATAAATAAATATAGCCGCAGCTACAGAATGACCTGTTAGTCTAGGGTTTGTCTCGTTGGACAAGAGGTCCCTTAATAGTAATATTGAGTTTATTAATGTTGTATTATTAATATTAACTGATTGCCGATATTTGGCTCAGTGAAAAGGGTTAAAATTAGGATTGAATAATTAAATCAGTTTCCAATCCTTTAACTTTTATTAATTAATACATTAATAATTGACAACGTAATAACGATACAATTTAAAGTAGCCTGGAAGGGGCGACTGGTCTTCAGGGCGGCGTGGTCACACTTCCTCACACACAGACCTCTGTACTAAGTTTTAGCCCCAAGCTGGCCGGCTTCCAATGAAGCCACACAATCCTCTACACACGTTGCCAAACGTACGTTTACTTTCTCCGTAGAGAACAAGTGCCGTAGCACCAAAATAATTATAATATAATAATGGCTAGTGCCTAAGCACCAAAATAAACGTGTACCTCCGAAGAGGGGAGAAGGTAGAGTGACCGGACTGTAGCGTCCCTACCCTACAGGTCACATGACTCAGGCTCCGCCCTCGTGACCGCAGTCTGAGGTCGAGGCCCGGTCAGCCTTACAATACCGCTGGACTCAGGTCCAGGTGTGTACCGTTACCTGTGGGGTAGCAAGAAGGGGGGAGAGGTGGAGACACCATGAGAGATATTTATAATCTATCATAACAGCCATCTCTACCACACCTAACCTTTTAGCGGCCATCTCTACCACACCTAACCTTTTAGCGGCCATCTCTACCACACCTAACCTTTTAGCGGCCATCTCTACCACACCTGACCTTTTAGCGGCCATCTTTACCACACCTTACCTTTTAGCGGCCATCTCTAACATACCTTACCTTTTAGCGGCCATCTGTAACACACCTTACCTTTTAGCGGCCATCTTTACCACACCTTACCTTTTAGCGGCCATCTCTAACATACCTTACCTTTTAGCGGCCATCTGTAACACACCTTACCTTTTAGCGGCCATCTTTACCACACCTTACCTTTTAGCGGTTATCTCTAACATACCTTACCTTTTAGCGGCCATCTCTAACACACCTTACGTTGGCCACTTTTAGCGGACATCTCTACCACACCTTACCTTTTAGCGGCCATCTCTACCACACCTTACCTTTTAGCGGCCATCTCTAACACACCTAACCTTTTAGCGGCCATCTCTACCACACCTAACCTTTTAGCGGCCATCTCTACCACACCTAACCTTTTAGCGGCCATCTCTACCACACCTTACCTTTTAGCGGCCATCTTTACCACACCTTACCTTTTAGCGGCCATCTTTACCACACCTTACGTTGGCCACTTTTAGCGGCCATCTCTAACACACCTAACCTTTTAGCGGCCATCTTTACCACACCTTACCTTTTAGCGGCCATCTGTAACACACCTTACCTTTTAGCGGCCATCTTTACCACACCTAACCTTTTAGCGGCCATCTTTACCACACCTTACGTTGGCCACTTTTAGCGGCCATCTCTACCACACCTAACCTTTTAGCGGCCATCTCTACCACACCTTACCTTTTAGCGGCCATCTCTACCACACCTTACCTTTTAGCGGCCATCTCTACCACACCTTACCTTTTAGCGGCCATCTTTACCACACTTTACCTTTTAGAGGTCATCTCCACCACACCTTACCTTTTAGCGGCCATCTGTATCATACCTTACCTTAGTTCTGTCTATGATCGACCTAAATATTTCTTCTCTAGATTTTATAATAATGGTTGAATGAATGAACTATTGCTCTAGATTGTATAGTATATTAATGGTTTAATGAATGAACTATTTTGTCGTTATAGGGTCAAGGTCATGGAAGACAAGGGGTCAGGCTGGAACCTGTTGGTACTCACTTTGTGTCTGCTAACCTCAGGTAATTTACATACACATATTAGGATCTGTTTACCTCAGGTAATTTACATACACATATTAGGATCTGTTTACCTCAGGTAATTTACATACACATATTAGGATCTGTTTACCTCAGGTAATTTACATACACATATTAGGATCTGTTTACCTCAGGTAATTTACATACACATATTAGGATCTGTTTACCTCAGGTAATTTACATACACATATTAGGATCTGTTTACCTCAGGTAATTTACATACACATATACACATATTAGGATCTGTTAACCTCAGGTAATTTACATACACATATACACATATTAGGATCTGTTTACCTCAGGTAATTTACATACACATATACACATATTAGGATATGTTTACCTCAGGTAATTTACATACACATATTAGGATCTGTTTACCTCAGGTAATTTACATACACATATTAGGATCTGTTTACCTCAGGTAATTTACATACACATATTAGGATCTGTTTACCTCAGGTAATTTACATACACATATTAGGATCTGTTTACCTCAGGTAATTTACATACACATATTAGGATATGTTTACCTCAGGTAATTTACATACATATATTAGGATATTTTTACCTCGGGTAATTTACATACACATATTAGGATATGTTTACCTCAGGTAATTCACGTGAACATGCAAACGCTGGTAAAAAAAATATATTTCACATATAAATTCCACTTCGTTCGGGGAGGCAGTAGACTTTTTATATAGTCTTAGCACATTCACACGGTACGGTTACACGCTGTAGACTAACGGAGATCATTGACATGTTTTTCCCACGTTTTCTTTAACTTGCTTTCGCGTCTTTCCAATCAAATCTTGCGATCGAAATTTCGGGCACTTCCCAGTTAGCTAGCGCGCTGAAATTTTCAGGGAAGCTTTGTTTCCGATGACAATAGAATATTCAATTGTTATTATTACTAAATTGATCCATGGAAACATTTTATTGATCATTTTAGACCGCTATATAATTGTATAAAAACGTGGGGGGGAAAAGGGACATAACCCAGTAATTGTAATTTGATGAAAACAAGGTTCGGTACTCTCCCTCTTTTTGCTTACTGAGTAGTTGTCACGCGGTGTTTGTGTACAAACAACCAGAACGTAACAACTTGTGGCCAGTATGGAGGAGACAATATGGTCGAGTGGTTGGGCACACGATTGCTAACCCACTCGACACGGGTTCAAGGCACGTGTTTTTTACGAGTTGTCTTCGTTTACCCAAAAAAAAAGTGAATGCGAAAAGATAAAATCGATAGCAAGATTTTAAAGCAAACAAACAGACAAAGACTAAAAAGCAGAAAATAATTATCATTAAAAAAGTTTTTAAAAACCCACGTTTTCTGATTGAACTAAAAAGTAGAAAATAAATGCTATACATCACAATAATGCAAGCGATCACTCTACTATAAGCGATGAAAAACGTGGGGCGCCGTGATTTTCTTACAGTTTCTAATACTGTTGACTCTCTACAAGCTCCCTAATAAAAGTCAATAGTGTTATCTAATCAATATTAATATAACTTTTACATCTTATATTAACAATGACCGATAAAAAACTTTTACTTCGGCGCCCCACGTTTTTCATCGCTTATAGTAGAGTGATCGCTTGCATTATTGTGATGTATAGCATTTATTTTCTACTTTTTAGTTCAATCAGAAAACGTGGGTTTTTTAAAACTTTTTTAATGATAATTATTTTTAAATTTAAATTCCTAACATTTTCCTCTAGTGGTTTCCAGACTTTAAAAAGTCTAACATTAAAATTTCTAGACATTTTCCAGACTTTGCAGAACGCTTACCGCATCTTTTGCAACTGAATACTTTTTTGTGTGGTATAAAACGAGAAATAATGTAAACATAGATTGAGGTAGTGATCCCTAGGAGGCTACTACTTACAAATGTTATGATTGTTTGTTATGATTATAAGGCTCTACGAGTGCAGGAAAAAATCCTATTAATTAAATACAAAAATAAATGTTTCATACTTTCCAGTTTCTGTTTAGTATGACAAAAAATATTTAATTAAACCAAGCGCCTAAGATTTAGGGCTTAAATTATACTTAATCATTCCAAATATTTTTTCAACAGTACTTTTAATATTTAAGCCCAGTAAGCAGTGGCGGAACTAGAAAAGATGGGCCACCCCGCAAAATTTTTTTTGGGCCCCCCATATATATATATATATATATATATATATATATATATATATATATATATATATATATATATATATATAATATATATAAAGCTCAATTCTGTATGTAACTTATAATATGTAAAGTGTAAAATGTTTGTCGCGGATACTTCGATAGATTTAAGTGTTAGGTTATTAAATTCCTTATGGTCTAAATTTATGAGTTGAAAAATTAATATTGAAAGTGTTGGGAAATAATTTTCATTTTTCAAACTGAAAGTAATAATTGTCGGCATGTTCATTGATTTGTTTCGTTTTTGTTCTTTCTTTTTTCGTTTTTGTTTTTGTTTTTTTCTTGGGTTTGTATTTGTGTTTGTGGTTGGTTTTGCGTTTGGATTTGGTTTGTTTTCGTTTGCTTTTTCGTTTTGTCTTCTTTGTGTTGGTATTGGTGTTTGTGGTTGTGGTTGGGTTTGTTGTTAGGTTTTTGTTTTCGTTTGCTTTTTTGTTTGTTTTTTCTTTGTGTTTGTATTGGTGTTTGTGGTTGTGTTTGTTGTTAGGTTTTTGTTTTCGTTTGTATTTGTAATTGTGTAAGCGTTATGTTTGCGTTTTGTTGTTTTGGTTGGTTGTGGTTTAGGTGGGCAATGCCGGGTTTAGGATTACTAAACACACAGGTACTGGTCTTTAACAGAAAGGTTTTTCACAGAAGCCACAGCAGGGACTGGCCGGGACGGCTAGTATATATATATATATATATATATATATATATATATATATATATATATATATATATATATATATATATATATATATATATATATAAACACACAATACAAAATCAATTAAATCTAATCATAACGACATGTTATGTGTATGGATGCATTGGTATGTTTTGAAAATCTCTGTTTTCATTTATGTTTGCCTCTTCTAATGATTAAGTCGGTCAAAAGTATATAAATCATGAAGCTTTGTATAAGTAATGGTGTCTCGTGTTATGTTTATTTTTTTTTTGTATTTATATTATTAGTTTTAACTACATTTCATTATTATACTATACCATTCTTTAGTACTTATTTTTTAAAAATAATAATTAAGATAAGTAATCGCTGTTTAATTTGATTATTACAAATCTATTAAGAGGAGCGTATGAGCACCCCTATTTCGCTATTTGTAAAAGGGAAATAATTTATGGAAGTGGTTTGAACGTTTGCCTATCTTTCACACTACAGCTGATGTGTATATTTTTTAAAAAAATTGTTTACGCAACAGCATGTCTTAGCTACTATATAATATCACTACTGTATTATATCTGTTATCTGTTTGTTATTTACAAAACCACTATCAAGGTGCCAGTGATGAAACTAATATATATATATATATATATATATATATATATATATATATATATATATATATATATATATATATATATATATATATATATATATATCACGCTATCATTCGTGTATTTATTTGAGACGTTTGCCTTGTTTTCTAGAACAGTGGTTATTAAATGTAAACAATGTCGGCATTTATTTCTTGGATATTAGTTGTTTGAGCGCTAGTTTGTCTACCACTACCACCGATACGAGCCAGCTTAGTTGTTGAGGCGCTATCTATTCGCTTCTTGTAAGGCTAAGAGTGGGAGGGGAGGTCTGAGAAAGGAACAACAAAGGAACAACAAAGCACCGATGTGCTTTTATCCATCAGTACCAAATTTGGGATGGTCTCAAAAAGCCGTCTTAATATCTAGCGGCCTCTCGCGCAATTGATGTTTTTTCAAAAGAATTTTGCCGACAACAGCGTGTGTTTGATTGTAGGAAAAAGAATATACAAGGGCGTGGGATGGTGTCTATAGAATAAAGATACTCCAACCGCAGCTACAGTATTCTTTTTTTCAAAACAACCATCAGGTCAAAAATGCAAGAAAATTAATTTTAACTTAAAAAAAATGATTATGGGCGGCTGTGGGCCCCTAAACGTCGTGCCCCCCCTCCCCCCCGCATTGGGGGTCTGGCGGCACTGTAGTTCCGCCCCTGCCAGTAAGAGATATAACCGAAAATATCAAGTTCCTATATTAAATTAAGAATTAATAGGATAACAAAGTGCACATTACATATTACTGAAGTAGTAATTGGACAGCGTGTTTTGAGAGATTTACTACGTTTTTGTGACGTACACATGTGTGTGTGTGCAGTGGCGGATTAAGGGGGGGTGCTGAGAGGGCTGCAGCCAGGGGCCCCGATTTTTAGGGGTGCTCAAGTTTCCTTTTTAAATTATAGTAAATTTCACATTAAAGCTAAATTGTTGGTTTTTGTTTTTTGTTTTTTTTTTAAACTATAAAAGCCAATGCTTTAATATTTGAGCACACACTTTAGTTTAAATAGCGGTTGCGTTCTGACACATGACTCTATGATTGACGCCTTTTGAAAAATGCACAGCACTTGAAAGCTATTTAGTCAGATAGCGTCAGATTGTGTAGCGAGGTGGTAACAAACATTAAAATAATACAAATGTTAGGCATAGTGTCTACATTCTGAATTAGGTCTCACTCGCAAGCCCACAGACAAGCAACATTATTGACCAGCCTTAGCAATCAATGAAAAACTGCTTGACCATTTTTGCTTACCCACTACACTACTAAGAAATGTATGAAAGATGCTTTACATTTTTGTCATTAGAAATGAGGTTTTGGATATTACTTTTTTTTTAGGTACAAGATATCTAGATCTATTTTTTAGGTACAGGATATCCACATCTAGTTATTTGGATTAAAACTCCTTAGATTAATTTTTAGTTGCCCATTAGGGCCTGGTGAGCATAGGGAATACTAGGTAGAGTTCACATATGTTGTTCTCATGAAATCAGACATTCTGATCAGTTCTAGATTTATGCCTAACTTCCTTTAGTAGTTTTAAAATTTGAGATTGGTCTAGGTACCCATCTGTGTTCGGTGTTCTTGGATATCAACCTGGGATTAGAGCTCAGGTCTTTTGGGTCAGCAGTCGTGCATTCTACCCCCTATTGTAAACTCGAAACTTTTAATTTTAAAAAAATCAAAATAGGCTACAAACCGTTAGGCCTAATTAGTTAGCTTGTAATTTCGTTGGCGTCAAGATAGATTTATCGTAAGAATATAAGTAATCACCTACTTACTAAACTAAACTTTAGACAATTGTGGAAAAGTGCGGGCGACGTATGGGTGGAGGTAGGGAGGTCTATGTGGACATCACATTCATTGAATCATACTCTGTATTGTTTATAACAAAAACAAAGCTGTATAAAAAATGTAGACCTAAAAACAAATAAGGCAAATACGGTAGTACCCGTGTTATTTTAACCCAACTCAAAATCTATTTAGACCCTATAATAAGGTACCCGACATTTATGCCTAAATTAGGCCTAGACAGAAACAGGTCAGGCATGGCTTTCTTTAAAGGGCGACTGTGGAAATTCAACTTTTTTGTGGGCCTTATAAATAACGACATTATAATATTCTCATGGATATTTATATTTGTTCAAATGTTAGTCTATATTTCCAGCATTCTCATGCCCAATATAAATACATGAATGACTGCTCCATAGCTATCGTGACACGTATATATATCGGCTCAGGAGTTTGACTCCCATTAGCCAGGGAGGTCAACTCCAACTAACTGGCAAAAAGTGGACTGAAGATGTTGGTTTGAAACATTACATGTTGGTCGCTTATTCATCCGTAGGCTCTGACCAGGCTTTACTTCCCCCACCACCAGCCGCGGGACATCGTCCTACCGTCCGGTACCCGGCTAGGTCGATGGTCAGAGGTCTAAAGCTTCTACAGGCCTAAAGTAAACAGTCATATATTTAGTACTGCTGACTTAGCGGGTGGATCTCGCCTCTTTGTGTTTTGTTAGTGTGTGTGCCGTGGTAGTGGATGGGGGACGGGGGGGCAACTAATAATCTTGCTAAAAATGAGTACATATTTGGTACATGTTTGTATCGAATTTATCGCTCACACACACACACACACATATATATATATATATATATATATATATATATATATATATATATATATATATATATATATCATGGGCCCCCAAAAATTTTAAGCCTGGGGCCCCGCCCAAGCTTAATCCGCCCCTGTGTGTGTGTGTGGGGGGGGGGGGGGGGGGCGTCGAAAGTAGACGCGGGAGGGGAAGGGTAAAAAATTCCAAATTTTTGTGGACGTCATAAATTGATTAACCCTTATGGGTTCGCAATAGTTTTTACTCATGAAACTCTTCCTAAATATTAGTAAAGGTATCCAATAGATACTAAATTAACTAAAGGGACCCACGCTTTTCTTTATAGTTGTTAAAATAGTAGTGTATAATTTATTTTCTCCTTTTTAGTGCATTATTACATAAGACCTTGTTATTAAAACGTTTTTTATAAAAAAAATTTACAAGCTTTTATTTAACTTGCTTTCTCTGTCAGTCGTCAGTCTGTCTATCTAGATCGAAACGCTCTAGCAAAATTTCGGACACTTCTAACTGACAGATTTGTTTCAACGTTAGCACGTGGGTCAAGACATGAAGACAATGCAACATCACATTAAATTTCACTTAATTTGTTGCCTAATTAATTTTGTATGAATTAATTAAAATTCTGACCAAATGAGTAGGCATTCTTACCCAACTATTCCGCACAATTAGACACGCTTCATCACGTTCATTAGGTGCGCATGGATTTTAGTCATTTGTAGATCCATATAAACTTTTCAGCGATTTCCGATAGCCGGAAGTGGAACTTATTCTACTTTCAATTTTTTAAAAGCTTATAACTTGAGTACTATTTTAGATAGATAAACGAAATTTCACATATAAGTAAAAGATCTAATTCTTCGCCTTCTTTCAAATTGTGAGTAACTTCAGTTGACCGGAAGTAGTAACTTAGGCTATTTACGATTTCTAAAAAAAACGCATGTGAATTTATAAAGTACTGATAATGTTCCGCACTATTATACACATTTTATTGGGCGTTCACTTGGTGTGCAATTCTTTTTTCTACGAGATTCTATTCTATTTTTAAAAATTTAGGTTATTAAAAATGGATTAAATATTGTCTATATCCCGAGTTGCCATCCCCCGTAGTGTTAAATAAGAAAATTCGAGAAAGTTTAGGGGAGATCACTCCCGGTTTATTAGTGCATTATAACATAAAAGCTTGTTATTAAAACGTTTTTTAATGAATTTTTTTTTAACTTGCTTCCTCTGTCTGTCGACAGTCTGTCTGTCTAGATCGAAACGCCCGAGCTAAATTTCTGGCACTTCTAACTGATAGATTCGGTACAAAGGCAAGTGGGTCAAGACATGAAGACAATGCAATTTGACATTAAATTTGACTTAATTTGATGCCTAATTAATTTTTAATGAATTCGTTAAAATTTTATCCAAATTATTAGGCGGTCTTATCCAACTATTCTGCACTATTATAAACACGTTATCACATTCATTAGGTTGCGATGGTTTTTAGTCATGCAACACTATTGTAAATTATAAAAAAATTAAAGTACGGAACAAAAAAGTATTTAAAAAAAAGTTTTATTAACAAGCTTTTATGTAATAATGCACTAAAAAAAGTGCAAAATTAACTACACATTATACTATTTAGATAGCTATAAAGAAAAGCGTGGGTCACTTCCTAAATATTAGTAAAAGTATCCAATAGATACTAAAGTGACCCATGTTTTTCTTTATAGTTAGATAACAAACATACTTTGTAGTTCTTCTTCTTCTTCGTTCCTAATTGAGAATATAATGGAGGATTTAGACAACAAGCCCAACGCCGTGTATGAACTGGACTGTGGGGTAAGTAGGGGCCAGTGTTTGGCTCGCGCCTGGCTATATACAGAACATTCTTGAAGGACGTGCTCCGTATTCTCCGGGGCCTTGCCACAAGGGCATATTTGGCCACACCCAACTTTGTAGTTAATGAATGCAGAGTTGTGTGAGTGATTTCATATGTCCATCTGACACGCTAAATACACGACCTCATAACAAAATTCCACCGCAGAGGATGGGCAGTCTCAGGCTTTAACCTTTAACCTTTTCTTTGGAAGTTTTGATGGGCCAGACAACACCTTCATCACCGCAGAGTATGATTTCATTCAACATGTACCTGGCAAATATGAGCTGGCAAGACAACCAGGCAATATCAAACACTTCATCTGCAGCCTACAATTTGACAAAGGCCAAGGTGAGATCTATTCAGAAAGAAAGGAATACCAGTATATACATATATATATTCTTAT